ACTCTTTGATAATGTATTGAGATCACGCAAGCTTACACACGTGCCGCGTCTAATGTAAATTATGGATACGCTTTAAAAAGGATTACTGTTTGTTTGCATGATCAATTTCACGAAATTCCAGGTAAACGACTAGTATGCTAATAAAGTTTATAAATTGAAGGCAAATGTTCCAAATTCAAAAAACGATTATAACGAATTTATTAATTTTGAAAACAGATGATAACGATGGCTAGATAGGTCAGTATTAGTTAGTGTATACCTTAACGTTCCAAATTCAAAAATTGTAATGTTGTTAAATTGTCACATATTTAAATGACATTTGATTGTAAAAACGTAATACGGTTGCACTATCTAGTCGTTAATCTGTGATCCTTAAACCAGACTACACGATGTCTTGCAATTTGCAGAAATTAGGAACAGTGTCTAACTTTTTAATGAGAGAAAAAAAAACACGGCGTACGTACACGATATGAGCCGAATCGGGCCGTACCAGGCCGCACCAGTTTGTATAATTGCCTTGTCTACGTGTGTGCACTTATAACTTTTCATTTTGCGGCTACGATTTTTCGGGAGTTCCCTTATTTGTTTGCGTAGAATTTTCCTTTATAATACAACACTGCGCTGAACATATTTTATCTAACGAAGCTGGTTAGTAGTACTTAGTGATTCAGCGTTCTAAAAACTTCAAACTTCAAAATGTATTCAAATAACTTGCATTTAAGAAACAGATGTTTATTTATTTAGCTTGGTTTTAGTGCGACTGTCGTGACGTTGAATAATTTCTAATGTATGTTCGTTAAAGTTCAGATTTTAAATTCACGGACCAAAATGGAAGAAACTAACTCATCTATATATCCAGTCAAGTATGACAAAGTTAAAATAGGCAAAAATGCGAGCGAAGCATCAAATAAGAAATTATGATAGAAAAAATCTGTAACTAATAGCCCGAATATCAGATCTAGATTAAAATATTGCCTAACCGGTTTTTGTCTAGTATTAAAATTGCGATTTATATCCGTGACATAACATTTTAAAATTTTTGTAGAACAACTGAAAAACTCACGTTCCGCAATGGCGTATTTTGTCACTCTGTGGAAACAGTATGAAAAATCATTCGAAAGCGATTTGACGCTTGATTAGCCCGCGGAGCCGAACACAGTTGACACAAGGGTTGAAATGTCACGATTTGTATGTAAATACAAAATTGGTGAAGTAAGTAGACGATAAATACATTTTACTTTTTTGACCTACAAAAGATGAAGCGAAACATTGCTAGTGTATGTAACTTGATGATCTATTATTTTTTACATTATGTTTATTGTTTATCTATATGTAAGTATTACTTATAATAAGTAGGCAAAATGCCCGTTATTGTGGATTGTAGAATGTTGTCAAAGTAAGCTAATAAAGTATTTATGTTATATTAAATTGTATGTTCGCGAAACGTTGTTCGCGTACATACAAAAACTCAAAAAAAAAACAGAGTTTCTTATTCGATTTGGTAAATAAAGTATTGGTAAACATACTAATACTGTTGTTTTTCTTGTTAGAATGTGTGTAAGTTTTTTTATATTTTGAAATAAAGTCATAATCCTTATAATTATAAAGTTTGAAAACTTAGCTGTATCGTATTCTGCAGTTCAGTCGGGCTTTAAGGACTACCACTACTTAGTAAGTGATAATATTGATACATCTTGTTAGATACATTTCAAATATTGAACTAAAATTTGATTCATTCGGATTTCGAAGACTGGAGTTCGTGATCTATCGTGCAGTACACTAACCAATAGACCAATGAGTACTTAGTGTTAACTGTACATATTGTGACGTCTATAACCTATGTTCCAAAGACGTAAGAATACTCAGACGGCACAGATAAGCGGAAATCGTAGGAATACTTAAACCACAGATATTTTTCAGTGATCGATTATAGATAGATTATGTGATCAGCTTGAGCGTGGGACAGCTGCGTAAACGGAACGCAACTGTGACGAATCGATTAGAAAACGATTTTTCATTATAACGGTAGCCGTGCGATTTACATCTCGATTGTTACGTTGTAATTTAACGTGATCGAAAATTCAGTCTGCGGGTTTGTGTATTTCATAAGCCACGATACGTTCACCAGGATATCTTGACCTGCAGAGTTTTTCTTTAGTTTGTTTCGAATTGTACTTTAAGTTTCATTAGTAAAAAAAAATGTTGATAAAGACTATGTAGAATGTAGATATTGTATCTCAAATATCTGATCATTACTATTCCCACATGATTGTTTTTCGGATTCTACAGCAAATTAAAATAGGTGCTAAAATCAATACAAAAAGCTCTCATTTTTGGGGAATCAATTTCTTGTTGGACCTCATGTGTTAATTGTCTCTCCATGCAACACTTTCCCAATAGGAGTTCCACATTTAAATTATGTTTTGGACTCTGCTTTTACAAGTCAGCGACTCGTTCAAGTTACTGTCGTGTTCCATCGCGCGGTGTCCGGCCGGGGGAGTTCTTGTTGTATTGGTCAGTTGACACATTGTCGGGGCACGATTTCACTGACCGGCGAGACGTGACGAGTTTTTATTTCTGCCAATGACGGCTGAGGCGTGGTGTCATTTCGGATCTTTTGTGTCAACGTGAGCCTTATGCGCACGGCATAAAGGTGATAAAGAGACACACACGAGATAACGTTACTGAATGGGAGTACGTTTTTTTCTACACACGCCCACTTCGCTAACGATTTAAAACGTTTCTCGTATTGATTTAGATGTGTTGGGCGATAAAGTGGTTTTTAATTATGTAGGCGGTTAATCGGTTGTTAGTGCAATAGATGTTTAGACTGCGACCAAGTAGAGCATCAGTTTGTTGATGATGTAGACTGTTCTTCGTTATATTTTATCGCCGTTACTACAGAACCTATTAAGTATTAAAGAAACTGTAGCCTTATAAAAGTATAATATACTTTTAACTTGCTTAACACTCTTTAGTTAAATATTTTTTAACGACATTTTTGAAAAAATAATATAAGAGGGCTTAATATACCGACAACACAAGTTGGGTGCCAAAATATTTTTGGTCTTTAGACTGGTATAAGGAAATTAGTAGGAATATAGAATTCTAAATGATCTTAATATTTTTCTTTTTAATTCTGTTTAGCTAATCTTGATAATATTTCGGATACCTACTTATTAATAGCTAGTGATTTATTTATTCTTATGATTGTATTGAGAAAGGCATTTTGACGGGAATAACCATGCCCGAGTCCCAGCAGTGGGAATTATTGATTGACCTTAGTGATGATAAAATGTATTCTTCATAAAATTTTGTAAGTACCAATTTTTTCAAACAGGGTTCCCATCATAATTGCTCCAGTCCATCGTTGATTGGTAGACTATGATACAGCTATAAATAGCTGTCTTATAATCCGTATATCATAGATTTGATCGTCTTTGTGTTTCGATTGTGACGTGCCTTGGTCGCTAGCACGAGCCACCATGCGGCACAATGACCTCATCTGTCAAACTTTAAAATCTAATATTAATGTGGTTGACCATAGATAATTAATTTATATCCATATTTTAAGGTATTTAAGGTTTTCATAAACAAGTGGCATGTCCATAGAAAGTAGAATTTCCATGAAAAGTCCTAAGTTCTATGACTTTTTAATGGACACTTTTTTTTCTTTTATTATTGTAATATAAATACAAGCACACCAAACTTTTTTCCAACAAAGAAGGCCTAGATATAATTAAAAATCAGTAGGTTATGTATTATAAGACAAGTATTTAATTCGTTTCTGTAGTTTATGCGAGTAGCAAATAAACGACTATATTGCATTATTTGAAGTACGACAGCACAATCAAGGGTTAGTAGGTAGTTTGCTGCAAAAAAACGCTAGGTTGCAGTAAAGAATATTAACCTAATAAATTACGCTGTTAAAACCGTTATAAGTATTTAATTAATCCACCATTTATTTGTAAACACACGCTGGCGTTTTCTTGCTATAATTTTAAGTCTGCCCTAGCACAGTATACTCTGTGGTCAATTTCATAACTCTTATCAAGGAGTCTTTTCGTCAGTTCCTATATTACAATCTACATTTTGTACAAAGGCCCCGATTAAATCTGTTCTCAAGACTGAGACGCGCACGTAATAGCACTTATCGACATCGACATATCTCGATTTTATCGATAACATTCACACATAGCACACGCTCTAGTCGTCTCTTGATAGAGATGCGGCGGGTGCTTTGTTGCTATTATCGAGAATTGATATCGATAGAGCGGCGGTCCTGTCACTCAAAGTTTTTGGTGTCTGTGGTATAGCGTACATTACTCTAGGCATATTCTATCCAGTCATACTGGCTGGTCTAATTCGCTAGAAGATATTAAATGACGCTTGCCAGGCTAGTTGGACTAATGGCAGTAATGTATGGCAAATTAATCAACGGGTCATCTTTAGATCCCCATCCAGAATAACGATTGCGTTGCACGATGTTCGATGCAAATTTAAAGAACAAAGATCTTTCTTTTAAAATTCTTTCTTTTAAAATAAATTAAATAATTATTTTTCTAATAAGTTTAACTAATATATCGCGTTTTAAACCGTTACAGTGTTTTATTTAAATATTTTACTTATCCATCCTATTGGTTCTCATTGGAAAAATATGTTTACAAACAATCTTAAAGGTTAATAATCTGCTTGAGTTTTCGGTAGTGTGAATGCCTCTGTAGCTAAATGGTTAAACGTGTTACCAAGCATTGCGTTTAGCATGAGAAGTCCTAGGTTTATACCCAATAGAGTATTCAATAGATTGTTTTGGTCGGGCACCGCACAGCAGTCTGATCTTGCTACTTGCCTGTAAATAAAAAAGCGATCGGTGAAAAGGATACAGATGTGTGAACGGGATTTTTCAACCGTTCAGTCACATTTATAAAATTCTTCATTTAAACTGAGACTTATAATATATATATATATATATATATAAGTATATAGTTATTTATTTCAATCTATATTGCGTTAGGAAATTCTGGCTCTACACGTAAGAAAGAGCACTTCATGTTGGTAAAGCCAATAATTTCATTGGATTTAGCGGTCAGTTCGTTGACCGTGGCATAAAAAAAGTTACGCACAATGGGGAGAAGTGGGCAAATTGGAGTGTCAATAGCCGACGGCCGGCCGAACCTGCCCCAAGCGCCCTCGCCTTGAGCTCGAGATAAAAATGGGCCAGATGACCGCCTCTCCACTGCCCGCACCCTGCACCCCGCACCCCAAGCTGCAACTTTTTAAAATATAACCTGTTTCATTTATAAAACGCGGGAAAATATCGACTGACATCTTAGATGTCAACATCATTATGTCGAATACAAAATATCTACTATCTAATATATACACATAAAGCTACACCAATCTAAACCTTTAAATTAGATAAAAGACAATGTAAAACAGTAATCAAAGTACCGATGAAATTAGCAAAAATAACGGTTTAAACCTGGTTTTACTCGCTGTCAGTCTTATGTCAAACTGGTCATCTCTGACTTGTTTATTATATTGCAGATACTTAATAAAATGTTGATTACATCAATGTATTCTAAATTATTTTGTCATTCTAAATTAATTTGTAACTGAACTGGGTGCGGTGTGCACAAACTTACAATTACATGCACATTACATGCATTATGTCGATAAACTAAAATGTTATTTTTTTTTTTAATCTAAATCTTTGCGTGAAACTTAATTGTAACAAGCTCACGTATAGATTAGTGTAGCTTCAAGGAATTATTTATTCTTCACATAATCTGTGTTCCAGTCTAGCCTACTTACTCTGTGGTGAACGTATCCCGCCAAATTCTCCATTCAAAACAGTCCTGCCACGTGGTCGACTCCATTTTTAAAAGTGCAAAGTGCCAGTAACCTCGGGAGTTCTTTTAATTTCAATAGTGGGGTCGCGGCTCAAGGTCACCGCCCGCGAGGGGACAGTTTTACGATCAGCTGATACTCGCCGACGCTAAAAATATCTTGTTAAACTTTTTTTTTAATACACCGTTGTCGGGGAGAAAACCCGGAAGTAGAAACTTTTTGTTATTCAACATTCGTGACTTTTTTTGAGAAAATTTCGAAGAATTTTTTTACCACCGTCTTTTTGGAGGCGTTGTTTTGATAATAAGAATCAAAGTGAAGTAGTTTCGACACGCTTTTTTGATTACAAAGACTTTACAGTTTTTCTTTTAAAACCTTAAAATATCAGATTATAACAAAATCAGTGATACACTAGAAAAGTGTGTAATATGCGAAGCAATTGTCCTGATGCGCGTGTATAACTTTTTCATTTGTAGGTTGTGTTGCAACATATAGTAATATATTTCCAAAAGCCCGGGGTTTAAAAATGTAAATTTCTACACGTCAAACGAGTAATGTATTAATAATTATACAATACCATTGATATCTAAATAATTAGTGAGTAAGGGCCGTCGCCGTTGGGAATATCACTTAGGAACGAGATAAAGGAATGAATTTCTGTGAAAGAAGTATATCGTCATTGCGTAACAAAAATGAAACAATCAGAGGGCATCGTCCACTGCGATCCATTGATTCGGCTTTCTTAAAGAAATCACGTCGAACGCCGGAAGACAATTCGACGCGCATAGACACCAGAACGAACATCTGACCACTGCGCAGCGCAATCTAAATACAACCCTATTACAAAATGATAGGATTGAAAATCAAACTTAACCCAGTTACAAATTTAAAAGTATCTCAAAACTATTCTCGAAGTAATTACCCGGTGATAAAGTCCAATTTCAAATGATGCAGCAATAAGACAGTTTCCAATAGTCTCGTTCACGGACCAGTGGTAAGGGGTGTAAACGCAAGTCACCGACAGATGAGTTCCGCCCTGATAGGTGTGATTCTTTATCAATTGGTGGGTCGCCACTGAGCGAGTGAACTGTCCAAGCAAAAGCAATAGTAAGGTTTGATCAGAACAGCGGCTTCTCTGAACGCATCTTAACCTAGCGTGTTTTGTTGCCTTTTCCGATACGAAAATGCGTTTTAATTGCAACTATAGAAGTATTGTAACAGCATAATTCAAAGAAAAATTAAATTACGAAGGCAATGGTTACGGATTAAACGTCTCAAGTCGCCACGCGAGGTCGCTCGCTCAGTGGAGACCCACCCAATCTCTTTTTTGTATAGAAATACTTGGATGTGATTTTGTTGGACATGTTTTAGGCCGTGAAGCTCATGGTGCATCAAGAGACAATGCGCTCACTCGTTTCAAATTAAAGAAACGAGTAGAGGATGAAATTGGAGTTTATCCTGATGGGAACACTGGTCAAGTGTTAATACCGTTTAAAATAGCTGCTACATTTACGGATGTTGTATATAGACATAAATTTCTTTTGTAAACCAAAAATGATTATTAGTATAAAACACTAAAACGGTTTCAAACGTGATATATATAGAACTTATTTGAGCTTTTTTTACTAGACAGACTTTGGTTACTGCTGCTATAAAGTACAGTAGTTTTAAACAGTTAAAGTGTTTTATTTAAATGTGTACTGCTCGGGTAAACTACAGACGGTATTTTATTATTAGTGTTTCTCTTAAAAAATCAAAGATCAGTTAATAATTAATTTACTAAAAGTTATTATACCTTTTGTACGTATTATTAGGTATATTTGTTTGTATATTATCTTAAAATAAAGAAATACGTTATATTTAAATAAGAAGGAATCTAAAATTGTAAGTAATACGTCTAAGTTAGTGTCAGAATATATTTCGATATTCGTTCCAACAAGACAAATCTATCAAGCCTGAAAACGGAACAAAGCAACATCGAATAAAGCACACAATCATTTATATCCGTCGCGAAACATGTAGAAAAAGCCTGTCTCCCCAGAGTCCGTTATTACACATCAATACAGAACACCAATCGCGCTTTCATTAGAGCCACAATCAATATTCATATCCCATGCGAAATCTTCATAACAGCGCGGCACAATAAAAAAAAAAACAATGATAGATGATCCAACGACTCGCCCGCATTCGTAGAACGAAATTAAAAAGAACAAGCCATATCACTTAGCGCACACAGAAGCGCGGTTTTATTAAAAAATTCTACATATCTCGCGCGTCTTCCGAACCTCTATCTTAACCCCCTCCCTCCCCCCCCTCCTGGACAGAGACGGCGCATAAAAATACGGGCCGAAAGAGAGGGACGCCCGCGAAAATTATAATTGCCAACTGTACGTAAATTAACACCGTAGATTTTGTGCTTTGTCTCATTCGTTCTGGGTCGCGCGCGACAGAGAGGGCCTGTGTTTGTGTGAGGATTCACATATATCGCGACGGACCTGGGAAATCGAACGTTTCCCGATTTATTCGTTGCATTTCGTATAATGGTCGAGAGGCAGCACTCACCAATCAGCAGAGGCATCGAGTGTTATTACTGCATAAATAAAAAGCATTTGCCGCGGCCGTACCTACGCCACTTCAGAAATGCGACTGAAAATTATGAATGTTGCACGAGGAGAACTTTTTATGTATAATGATTGCGCAACAAATATACATAGGTCGTGAATTTTGTATGGGAGAAACGAATTGAGGAATTAAATCTCTGAAATTGTTTTTACAACAATTAGTAGATTTGTATTCAATATTTATAGCTTTATGTCTTACCGTGAAGTTTAGTTACTAGCTAGACCGCGTTATCTGTCTTCATAACTATCGAAATTATATAGATAAATAGTTTTAAACTATTTTGAAAAGTAACTTTTATTCGTACTGTTTAAGTACAGTACATTTCGTTCAGTTACAAGTTTAGTTCCGGCGGATCACGTGATGGACAATTTTAACAGCGAATTTTGAAGTTGGAATTAATTTCGACAAACACCGCATTGAAAGTTGACAGAGCGATTTAAGAAAACCCTTTATGTATTCTGTTATATAAGGTCTATGTATCTGAGGAAGCGTACGCACAAAACAATGGCGGTGCGACGGTTGACCTCGCGGCCCCCCCATGTCTTGCCTCCCGTGGTAGCGCCGCGTGCAATTAATATGCCGAGTCGGCCGCGTGTACCGCGACCTAAGGATCTTGATCCTTGGACTATCGTTTAATCCTTAAATAGGCAAATTAGAGCTATTTATATGTAATGAATTTCAGATGAGAGAAAAATTGACATTCTGTGATGGTATATGCCGCGAATGATTTAAAAATGTGATGAGTTAAAAGTTGAAGCGAATACATTATGTTCAACTACATTTTACTTAATCATAAACTATTACGTATTTGTGAATTTCCCTTTATTCATTTTATTAAATATAGCCTTATCTAATAACGTATGTTATGTATTATCAATAGGAGTGATGGTAAGGTTTATAATTTAAATATTGCCTTGTAGGCACAACTTTTTTTTGTTAATAGCATGTAGTTTGAAATACCATCGGCCCACTAACAGTTTTTTCAAGTATATTATTTTAAAAGAGTGATAAAACAGCCTATTTTACTGGTCCACTATGGCAGCTAGATTCCATATAAAGGTCATAAAAAATAATATTAATTAAAATTTAAACTTAAAATAAATTATCTAATTACAACGATCAAACTACACCGGGTGACACATAACCCGTCCAAGTTTTCTTTTGCGAAAGAAGAGAGAGAATTTTTGATCAATAATTGTCACTGGGCGGGCCACCCCTCCCGCGGGGGTGGGGGCCAGCGGGGTTGGCGGCCGGGGGGGTAATTACGAGTGCGTTTTGTTACCGACATGATAGGCGCGAAAAATGGCTTGCGCGTGCCTTTACGTGTCGCCTCTAGTTTTGAATATTCAGCCTTCGTTGATGAAATATTGAATAGACAGAGTAATTTATTCCCAGGGAAGCGTTTCCGAAGCGTCCGCTCCGTCCGGATATTGAAATTAGGCTTTGCTTAAGAAAGCGTTCGTTTGATGGAAGCCCGTTCTCGGAGCCGATAGCCGATATTATTACGCCCGTCTTTCACGCTTTTGGACCTTCTTTGTGCTTAGGCTGGATTCGATAGTCATTGTTCAAAATCGATATGTTGCTTACGTCATTATATACGTCTGACGTACGTAAATTTATACTAATATATAAAGTTTAACAGTTTGATTCAATGCGCTAATCCGAGGATTTTTTTTCTGTAAAGCTTAGAGCATTTATCGTTGAAGGAAGTAACAGCGAAAAATATGGTAGAAAAAAGGGGAAAATTATTTACCTTTGTGGTTTTCCGCTGCGTACGCTGCGAAAACGGTTTAAGAACCAAAATATGTATGAAGAAATGATTCCTCTTCAAATGATCTAAAAATGTCAGTCAGTCAGTGTCAATCTTTTAAATTCAGCGTAAATTTATAGAGTTGAACAATATTAGTTTTTATATAAATCTCTATTTATTTAAATATCTTGCCACTATAAGTATGTACATACACTAAATGTAATAGTAAGCATATAATAATAGAAAGAAACATAGTTAGTTGCCATAAACAAGAGGAAATAGCACGGTACACATGTTGAGTTTTCGTACTGAAAAATGAAGAAATTTTCATAAATTTTCTAAACCCAATGACGATTTTTAGTGAAAAGCTCTTAACCCAATATCAAACCCTAGTGCTGCACCATCGCTAAAGACACTCGAAAATCGATTAATTACATATTCTAATAAAAACGTTCGAGGACTATAACTACACGAAGTTTTATTAATTATGCCCTGTTTTCACTGCCTCAAGTTAAACAATGGTATGGAAATTGTATTACATCGTAATTTCTTGAAAGGAGACGCTTAAAGTTTCCGCGAAACGAAACCTAACGGCTATTATGTAACTATTAAAGTCGTAATGAAAATATCAAAGAAATGCTGATTTTATTCACACCT